GGGGGGGGGGGGGGGGGGGGGGGGGGTGACGGAGAGGAGGAATCCAGACGTATGGATGAGTGAGGACCTCGATTCAGCTGTACGTCTGGCCATGTACGGGTTCGGGTCCGGCGTAACCATATGTTTTTCTACTTTGTGAGTTGATAACGAGTTCTTTGTTTTCAGAATTTTTCCAGTTTGAATTCGGAAATCCTTTGTAGGCTGTGCCTGACTTAGCTAAGCTCTGGGTATCAATCTGGCTCTACATCAACAAATCTACCAACAGCGTACGAGCGCAGTAACCTAGAAGCTGAGGTTACCTGGGCAGTGGTGTCTGCTCGAGGCTGGTTGCCACTCGCGAAGGAGGATCTCTTGGATGTCAAGTGCTGAGGTGTAAGTCCTTGCTGCAACCGTGCTGGGGTGGCCGGCCTGAATATCAAGACCGGTATGGCTTCAGTTTTAAACACTGGGTCCTGGTAAGGGCATCTGGCTGTTATGGCCGAGGTACCGGGTTTGATTCTGTTGTGTTGGCTCCGGGCATCGATCTGGCTCTACGTCGACAAAATTTACCGACAAGCCGTATCATGAGTTCTTTTCATCAGAGAATAAAATTGGCTGTAGAATCTGTGGATGTAGTTTGAACATTGTGTAGAATCATCTGAGAGTTCCTACTTTGGTTTCGATTTGCAGGTGGATCTTGATTTAGCTTGATCATCATCCTGATTCATTACAGCATAGCACACATGCAAGCGCGCACACCGTGCGGGCAATTGCGAGCGTACGGCGCACGGGCATTAACTTGATACCGTGAAAAGTGGGAGGATGACAAGGACCCATCTCTCTCTCTCAACCATCAAGAAATGTCACAGGCATGTGGATGACCAGGACTTACCGCTCTCTCAACCGTCAAGAAATGTCGTGGCCTGCTAGCAAGAACAGCCTGCATGTACGCAAGTGATGCCATCGCTGTTCCCTGATTCAATTCCAAAGCAAGCACGCCCCAAAAAGGATACACATGTAAGACCCACAAAAGTCATGCTGCAACGAGCAATCACCGTTTCAATTTACACACTCCTCATCCATGTATTGTAAACACCTCAGAAATCAAGACTTGGCACTTGAAATGTCCAGAAGTCAAAAGTGGATGCCTACACAAAGAACTGGCTCAATGTCCGCGTGATGAAACAAGAAAAAGATGGATGCATGTCTGCGGGATTCGTTATGCAAACCGATGTTCTCCACAATGAGACAGTTATGGTGGAAGGATTTCAGCACGATTCGTTTGTGCACACATTTCCTGAATGGTTCTAAACTTTGACGATGAAACTCCGCAGAAGAACGAGGAAATTCAGGGGCTGCTTCCTCCAGGGCTATTCTTGAGTGAGATTCTCAAGACATTAGGCACTGGGACTCCAATAATTGACTCAAGAACTCTCCTATTCCTGAACTACAGTAGCAAGACAAGACATCGGATAGTGCCATGCTGAGAGATCTGAGAAACAGTAGGAACCCACCCTGTTTGCTGGCCCACCCCAAGGTTACAAACTCCCTATTCAACTCAGCTAGAAGAGATCTTCCAAAAGCCTAACGACATTGAAAACAAGACAGAAGATAACAAGTCCTTCGGGACATCCGTTAAAATTGGAACGATACAGAGAAGATTAGCATGGCCCCTGCGCGAGGATGACACGCATAAATCGAGAAATGGTCCAAATTTTTTTAAAAAGAAAGAAGATAACATCCTTCACGACATCCGTTAAAATTGGAACGATACAGAGAAGATTAGCATGGCCCCTGCACAAGGGTAACGCGCATAAATCGAGAAATGGTCCATCAGGACCAAAACAACAACAAAAAAAAAAAAAAGAGTTCAAAGAACATAAAAGTCCCTCAGGACTGAGACCGTTCCCCCTCAGGACTGAGACCGTTCACCTTGCCGATGATAAGCAACCGGACTGTTGCCCCCCAGAATAGAAGGGGCCTTGTGTCAATTAAAAAAAAAAAACAATCCTTCAGGACATCTGTTAAAATTGGAACGATAGTACGATACAGAGAAAACTACCATCTTCACGAGAATAGAACGCCCGGTCATTACAGCTACATTTGGCCCAACTTTCAGTCCAGATGCAGCGATAATGACCGGGCGTTCTATTCGGGTGAAGACGGTAGCATGGCCCCTGCACAAGAAAAGATAGAAGATACCGAAAATGACGGGAAAGGTACTGCACATGGCAGCCAGGAGTTGACCGACAGGTCAGAGGAAAATGTTGGATGATTGCCCCAACCACTCAGTCACCCTCTCATCTGAACATCCACCAAGAATCTATCCCAGTGGGGGAAACAACTCACCAAGCGCACTGACGAGACGTAACTTTAAAAGATTGTGGCATTGTGCCATCAACAATGGTTCATTGACGGCACATCATGCACAAGCAGCATGACGACATCCATGAAGATGCAGTGAACAGAATGTCTGAGAATTACAAAGTCTTTGTAGGAGGTAAACATCAAAGCCTTGGCAATGAGAGAGATTCAGACCACCATCAAAAAGCAATGAACTCGATCATTTAAAACCTAGAGTACTTTCGTCCTTCGGGACATCCGTTAAAATTGGAACGATACAGAGAAGATTAGCATGGCCCCTGCACAAGGATGACACGCATAAATCGAGAAATGGTCCAAATTTTTTGGTACGGTCATACCACGGCTAATGCGCCCGATCCCATCCGAACTCGGAAGCCAAGCGCCGTTGGGCCGGAATAGTACTGGGAAGTCCTGGTGCTGTACCTTGAAAAAAAAAAAAAAAAAAAAAAAAAAAAAAAAAAAAACCTAGAGTACTTTCCCAACCTGGCACCCAAATCCAATGCCAAGTCATGGCTCCAATTACAAAAGAATAAGAAACAGCCAGGTTACCTACGTGCTAGCAATGCTGGTAAAAAAGCTGCCTCTCTACCGAGCTGAAGTGGAGATGAAGCAGCACAGGATATCCCCACAATGCTTATTGATTGATGTGCAATCAGACTCGCTTTCTTCTTCACTTCGCAACATGCAAACAGATGGAAATCCACACTGGCGCTGTGCGCCCACACAAAGCTCAGAGATAATCAAGCCGCGAACACAGTTCAGATGTAAACTTGCTTCAACAGACCCGAACATCCCAACTCTCGTCACTGTCTCCAACACCACTGTTCGCACATACTCAGCTCTGGATCACCCTGAATACCCCACGCACATACACTATGCAACTCACACACGCACACACTGAACTCTACCTCTAAGCTACAGCGGCTATGGCCGCCTAACCCCTACTAGCTATGGATACTCCATCCTCCTTCGGCCCACTTCGTCCTCGGGCATCTGCAGACCACCTTGCACAAGACGCTAGGGCAGCGCTTCCGCATGGCTCACGCAGGAATGAATGAATGGCTGGACGCTGTGTCTTGATTTATACTTCTGTAAGTCGCTGGTCTGCCCCTTTCCACCGGGCCCATGGTGCACACAGTCCCTCATGGTACTCGCTGACTGTGCAAAGTGAGACTGGGACTGGGTACCGCTGGCTAAGCGAAGTCCGACTCACCACTTGCCCACTTGCCTCTGGTCTGCTGTGAATAACGTGAGAAGAAACTTGAAAGGCCACTTCCGGACCTTCCAGAAGTCTGTGGACTTGGCCTTTCAGGACTGTAGCAGCTACGACCTTGACCTTTCAAAATAGCTACAGCTACGGCCTCTGCCCAACTATGACCCCTACTCGACAGATCTACAGATCGAATCCCTACGGCTACACAGACCTATGACAGACTACAGTCAACTACCAAAACACAGGTCACGGGTTCAAACACACAGGGGTCGGCTACACAGACCTATGACAGACTACAGTCAACTACCAAAACACAGGTCACGGGTTCAAACACACAGGGGTCGACTCGATACTGTACACGGGTGAGGTGAAGGTCTAGGGACCAAGCCCTGGGATTTGCATCTGCTACTGCAAAGGTGAAAACCGTTTCACTCCCGCCGGCCTAAATTCGAGGTCCTTCGAGAATACTTCAGTCCAAGGCAGGACCTTTACCTTTCCTATCTCTCTCATCGGCTCGAACTATATCGGGAGTGGTCTCTAGAAGTTCTGTTCGTGTGAACCAGCAGTCGTCCTCGGGTTCCTGAAAAGAGAATCTAACTTTATACTGTTTCTGTGGACGACCTCTACCTCCCGTTCTGAAGACATCTTCATCGACTATGCCATGAATGTCGTAATTTCCATCCATGTCCGGAGGGATCATGGACCGTCGTGATGGAAACTGTCGACTGGTGGTACAAGGCAGCAACTTTGAGGCATGAAAAACTGGGTAGTTGTGGAGGTGCGTCGGAATCTCTATTGTGTAGGACGGTCCATCCTCTCCGCCCTTAACTTCTAGAACTGGCCACGGCCCTCTGTAAGCAGGTAACAGTTTTTGTGAGATGTTCTCCTCAGGCACAAACTCTTTTGACTTGACCCTGACTAAGTCGCCTATTTGGAACTGTGATGGGCTGCTTATTGGCTTGCTCTATCATTCTATGCTAGGCCTTCCTGAGGTTCTCTACAACGGTAGCAATCTCTTTCTCATGATGTATCGCAAACTCCCTTGTTCCGGGCGGTAGCCTCTGAATCTGATCCCGGTTGAGTCCCTCAAACGGTCTACGTGGTCTAAAGGCCTTATGCAATTCGTTGGGAGTGCGACAAGTAGCTAAGTGCACGGTATTGTTGTATGCGCTGGCTACCTTTGGGAGCATCTCATCCCAATTGACTTGATCTGGTCTAAATTGTCTAATGTACATTCTCAGAACTTGTTGCAGGATCTTGTTCATCTGTTCAGTCTGACCGTTAGTTTCAGGATGACAGCCAGATGACATCAAAAATCTAGAGCCATAGACTCTCATCAACTCCTGCCAGTTCTGACTAGTGAACCGGTTATCTCTATCACTAACTATAGACAGCGGTAACCCATGATCACTGACTTAATGGTCAAAAAACTTTCGTATTACTAAATCTGTACGTGCCTCTGAAGGCAAGGGAACAAAAACTGCATACTTGCTAAATCTATCCACTATAACCATGACTTGGCTCTTGCCATGCCTATTCTCGACTCCTGCATTCATAGAGTCAATGGACACAGAATCTCCGGGCCCATCAGGAATAGGCAAGGGTCTGAGAAGACCAAGAGGGGCTCGCATAGTGGTCTTATTTCGTTGGCACACCTTACAACTGCGTACATACTTTATGCAGTCAGCCTTCATACCAGGCCATGTATACGCATTCATAAGGTTGGCTAATGTCTTCTGCAGACCAAAATGTCCCTCTGTGTCGTGACATTCCCTTAGGATCAAACTACGGACTTCCTCACTGTTGGCGACGCACAAACGGTCCGCTACGTTAGTCTTCTCGAATCGTAACCCATCGGTAGTGCGGTAATCTGGTTTTGTCTCTGGGGCCTCCTTCACTCTCTTGAGGAGGTCACTATAGATAAGGTCCTGTGCATATGCCTCTTTAACTTTTTGTTGCAGGTCTCTCCCTATGTCCAGATGATGAACTATCGCTCCAAAGTAATCAGCCCTCCTATTTAGAGCGTCCGTGACTACGTGATACTTCCCTTTCACTGGCTTGAGCTCAAAGTCAAATTGATCTATCTCGGCGGCCCACCTAGTAAGCTTAGGTGTCATCTTGGCCTGTGTCTTCAACCACCTCAGCGTCTCGTGGTCTGAATACACTTTGAAGTGCCTCCCAAGCAAGTAGTGCTTCCAGTGGTCTAGTGCTTGCTTGAGAACGTAGAGTTCACTCTCATAGGTTGATGTTGCTACGTTCTCAGAAGGCATCCTAACAGATATGAACTCTACGGGTCTATATCCATTGCCGTCGTCTTGCTGTAAAACAGCACCTATGCCGTACTGACTCGCATCAGTAGTAACAACGAATAGCAAGGACGGATCGGCTACCTTGAG